GGAAATTCTGCCCTTAGGGGAACACTTATGTGGTCATCCAGAATAACTCTTCTCCACTTCGAGGTTCACACTACCTCACACTACCATTCATTTTTCCTAAATAATGTGTTATTAGAGTTATTAAAGCAGCATAATTACTGTATTTCCAGCTATGTGGCAATGGCATGCAAGCAGGTAAGAAAAGTGAGTTAAAGGACTAAAGCTTTCACCCATTTGGGGTAGTCAACTTGTGTAGTTGGTCTGGAGAAAATATTGTGTTATGGCTAAAAGATTTAATCTGGGGATATTTATTTTTTTTTCTTTCTGACTACTTGAAAGAAAACACATAAGGATTTTTGAAATCCCTCCTTCCAAACACTACTTCCCTGTAAGGATATCCTTCAGCTTCATAACCTGTGAGCAATTCAGAAATAGCAAAAGCCCCAGCTCCTTAGACTACACAGTCCTATTCCCCTTCCCATTTTTGCCTAATGAATCTGAATTTCTCTTCTGCATTATAAAAGAGACTAGCAGAGAGGCACAGCCCCTCTCTTCTCAGCTTGAGGCCTGGTGGGAGGCGAGCTCTCCAAGGATGTAGGTTGTGACCAGTCCAAAGATGCCGATGCACAGGAGGGGTGAACAAGGTTCCCCAGTGCTCTGGACATGAAAATTTCTCTCTGAATTAGCTCTCAGTCTCTCCCTGCCCCAGAATCATGGATGGAAAATGGAGATGGCAGGAACTTCCAGCCTTGTAGAGGTGTAGTGGGCTCCAGCATGTTAAAACAGATGGACAGCCTGGAACTACCATAGCAGATATCACATACCATAAAGAATGCTTGACTATTAATAAGAAGAGGGTCTGGGTGCTATTGCACTGTCCCTGTAGAGAACAGAGACTGTCCATGGCATCATTAAATATATGTTTTGTCTGTGTGTGTGTGTGTTCGGCTGAGCTGCTATTCAGTTTAAGGGTTAATTCACTTGAAATTCACAAGGGGATAAAGTAACAACAAGATTCCCTCATTTGTAAAAGTTATCTCTGTTTTTCCACACTGTTGCATTTGCATATGCATATATATATATATATATATATATATATATATATATGGTTAGATACCTCTATTTATATTCTCTGACAACATTTATTTTGGGGCTAGAATAAAATGAGGTTAACAAAGCAATTTTGGAAGAATCAAATTAAGATGTATTTTTAGATAAGATAGTTTCAACTAAAACCATATCTTAGCATAATATCTATAACATAAAAAGGTTTTCTTTTCCTTCAAAGTAAAGGTATAATTATGTTATAGATTAAGTGTTCATGAACTGCAGTCTTTAAGAAATAGCTGTTAACAGAAAAAGGTCCCTCACATTTCAAACACTCCAGAAATAAAATAATTGCAGTAAATTGATTTATTGTAATAGTAAAGTAGCAGCAGATAAGTCATTTTTTCATTCAATTAGGAGGTTTTGTGCTGTTTATTTTATTACCAGCCACCGCCAAACAGAGCTACAGTAAACGATTACAGAAATTGTGTTCAATTAACTACGGAGGAAGCCAGTTCTACCTTGGTGTTTACTTGAAATAGTGAACACCTCCACCAGAAGTGGCTCTCTCCAGTTCTGCCTAGCAGAACAAGCTCTTACAAGCAGCTGTTGCTCACAGATCCTGTCTCCGGTGTAACCATTCAACCTAGATCAACTGTTCTCTTCCTCAAGAGACCACATTGTGTTGATAGATACTGTGTTTGCACATAGTGAATTTTGTCCACTTTTCTGATTATGAACAGCAGTGCAAGTAGCTGGTAGCATCTCCAGTTCCCATGGACCTGGCAAGGTGGGCCTGTAAGGGCAAGGCCAATGAATTGCTGAAGCACGAAGTTTAAAGTCTACCTACTGTTAACAACAACAACAACAATAAAAAGTATCACGAGAGATTATTTTAGTATTAAAAATTAAAGTAGATGAGAGGAAAGGAGGAATCTTGCAAATATCCTCTTATTAGAGCAAACTGGCATGTTTTCTATCTCAAAAAAAACAGGGCTTCAAGTTACCTTTATGCTTTTGCCATCACCAAGAGCTTTTTCAACAAGGTATTTGATTGTAAACTAGACAAATACACCTCCTGTATTCAAAAGATCACCCAGAAGGTCCTGGACAACCATTGGGATAGTCTGTGCCTACCAAAATCCCTACTTTCTAGAAATTCAGTCAAGAGGATAAATGGCTTTCAGTGTCAGCAAAGAGGCAATTCAGTCTTCGGAGTCTACACTGCACAAGGCTCTCTCCTAGTCCTGGCTTTCACACCTTATTAAACAAGAAGCTCATACAAACAATTAATACTTAAGTCATGTTTTTGTCCTTGTGGACAAAAAATTAATACTTGAGTCATGTTTTGTCCTCCATTGGCCTAATTCTCAAGAGTCTTTGCAAAATATGTTGCCACATGCCTAATCCATGTTCAAGGTAGTGCTGGCTGGGCTGTTCTGCCTAAGACAAGAGAACAGCCACTGATCACTTATTGTCAGCCAGGTATGCAACAAAGAGAAAACGAATGAACTGGTAGAAGAGTAAGTCATCTGTCTTGCCAGGGGACTAATTGGCATCAGCAACTTGAGCACTGTAGGTAACTCAACATAAACATTTGTAATAAATTATTTCTGTTAGATAGTTTTCCTATGTGAATAAAATAGTCTGAAATTAGCAGAACTCCTGTAGTTTTCAGAACCTTTATTAGGTAACCGAACATACTATTTTACACAGTGCATTTTAAGAGAAAATTGCCCTGGCAACACAGAAAAATGAACCAAATCCATTGCATTCTGGCATGAATGTCTTTGGGTGAACTCAAGCTGTTACACTTGCAGGATCAACCCAGATACCGCAGACACAGGATTAACCCAGATATTATTTTCAAAGGCTTCTCCACAGCTGATTTTAATGAACACTGATGCAAAGTCCTTATGCTTTACACTGACATTAACAACTTCACAGCATTTTAAGTAAGTGCAAGGGCATCCTAGGTAAGCATGGTCTTTTTGACGTGGATATATGTGTTGCACTGAGTTAGCTGCAATCGACACAATTCAGGAAACAAACCACACTTTATCTAGCTATTCTCGAGGAAGATGTATGCACTTATTTTGGGCTTTTTCTCTGGTGATATCTGATGACACTGAATGGAGGGGTGGAGGAGCTCCTGCTGTATATCCTGATGCTCATCCTCACACCCAGGATTACAGTCCTTAAGCCTGGCCATGCTTTTAGCTGAGGAAGCTGCCATTTCAGATGTTGGTGCCCTGATCTACCCTTTGCTTCCTGTGTGATTATTATTCTTGCTCCAGGCTGTGAGCTAACTAATGAAGGAAAATAGTTAATTTTCATGAGTGCCACTGAAAAAATCTGTGCAGCGACCCTGAGCCTGGGCTGGCAGTAACCAGCATAGCAGGGATGGAGCCAGCTCCAGCTTACACCAGCCCAGGGCCTGACCCCGCTGCACCACTGCGTGGAGTTGGCTTTTCCCTGAGGAGGATGATAAAATACAGTTTAGCCTCAGCTATATCACAAGAAATCAGATGAAACACAGCAATTGCCAGAACTGTCTTCCCAGAGGGCTCAGCTTAAAGAATTTCATGAAAAAGCATAATTCAGTTAGCTTGGAAACAGTTAACGTGATAAAGGAAGCACCCAGATTTGCAGCAAAAAGAAAGCAAGCATCTTGGAGGCACTGGAAAGGCATCGTACTGCCCTGCTGCATCCGTCTGTGGTTGTCAGCAGATATCCTCCCTTGCCTGGGGTCCATGGCAGCCTGAATGAGAGGGCGACTCCTGTTGCCCTACAGAAATACTACTGTGTTATGGACTGATGGCACCAGAGACAATGTGTGACATCTGTAGATTTGTGGTGAACCTGCAGGAGCATCTACGTGGGCAGCAATCAATTACTTCAGCTTAACTGCATTGTGTTTACCAGAAAATTAGGTATAGCTTATGGAACATGATGGCAGGGTTTTGGAGAGGCAGGAGGAGGATCCTGCCTGTGGCAGTAACTGGAAGCCTGATCTTCCAGTGCTGGCGTGGGCAAAGGAGGCGTCTGGCATGGCACCTCCCCATGCAGGTGTACTGCACACATAGTATGGCACAAGCAACCTATATACATATATGTATATTAAATCACAGCCCAGCTCACTGCAAGGAAAAACTGTCCAGTCCTGATCATCTTTCTGAGATATTTTAATTACTGTTTTCCTTGGGCTCCCCTAATGAACCAATAATCTCAAAAGATTCGACCCACAAACGCACACTGGTTAAAAAAAGATCACACGTACATTTCTGTTCTCAATCTTGCTGCACAAAATGTAGAGACAAACTGCTACTGGCAGGAAGGGTAAATGATAAAAATAACCAGGATGCCTCTCAGTTGGTGCTCTCTGCAGCTGTCATGGAGTCCAGCAGGAGTGGGGGCTGCTCGGCACCCTGTTAAAGAGGTTCCTCTCCGTGTAGGCACACATACACGCATCAGCACCCTCCCTGCCTGTGCATCCTGACCATTTTGTTCTGGCACGTATGCCTAACAACTTCATCCTACAATTAAAGCTCTGCACACACAGGCGTGCACACTGACACCCCCTCTGCAAAGAGCACACACACATACAAAACCTAATGACAGGCACCAGCACAATTTAGCACAGCTTTGCAGGCAGAAAAGTGCTCGCTGAAGCCATGCAGTGCACACCCAACCCACAGCGACCGGTCTCTTATCGTTATGTATAATCAATAACACCACTCCACATTAGCAGCACAGTGCCCACACCCTCCCGACCCCATCCTTGCAGCATGGTCCTGTGCACGAAGCACAGGGAGCGACGAGCAGGCATGACACGAGCGTTGCAGGAGACAGGCTCCAGCAGTGAGAGATGCTGCATGTCGGGGTGGGCTCTCCCCAGCTTTCAGGCGTGTGATCTGCATATCTAATAATGGACAAATTTAGTCAATCCGTCCTTTCTGGCTTCGGTCCCTTACCTTGAAATGCTGCAGTTGAAGTATCTGGTCCTCAAGCTGTTGTCTCTTGCCTTCTATTTCTGTCTGCCTTTTCCTTTTCTCCTTGGAAAAATAATTTCAGAGAGAGAGAGAGAGAGATCGTCAGAGAAATGGAGGATTTAAGGGTGGCGGATTCACAGGAGCATGTAGGCAGCCACGCACATCTGTGCAGATGCCACCAGTCCCGTTTCACCTGCTCTCTGGGAGGGTGCCAGCCCCGGACCAGCCGGTCGCTCACCGGCAGCAGAAATTCTCCTCGCTGGCTGCCGGCAGCCGGAGCAGCAACAGCGTGCACAGTCCCAGAGGAGGGGAGAACACAGGCATCGCGGCTCGGAGGGAAGTTAAAGGGACACAGATGCTCTTTCTCGTGCCAGACCCCGGGGCAGGGGTGGGGACCGCCGTGTGATGGTAACGCCATGAGAGGGCATCACCCATGGAGGGAGGTGGGCTACAGGTGGAGATGTCCCCTCGGGGCAGGTGCTGAGGCTCCAAGCCCCCAGGCTCTTGGGGAAAATGTGTTTTGTTTGGATTGCACAGGGCTGATCTGAGGCGTATATGGGGCAGGTAGCCTGCTCGCTTTGTTTGGGATTCAAAGCATAACTGCAGAGGAGATGCTGGCCCGTGGTGGCTCCCAGTGGCCAGGCTGTGCCAGCAGCTGGTAGTTCTCAAGGTCACCTCCACAAACATCTCCACCAACCCATGCTCAGCAGCAGGCTGTCCCAGAGCTTTCAGGAGGGGAACTATCTGCTCTCCTCATCCTCCACCCCTCCCCATTATGGAGCACCAACCTGTTGCCTTGCCCAAATTTTATGTGCCTGGCATGGAGCATTGCTCCTCACCCATCTCCAGCCCGTTCCAGGTTCCCCTTCCCACAGGTGTTTTCTCATGTTAAACTTTCCAACCAAGACAGAAATACCAAGTAGTAAATACAGATAGGCCATGCCAAAACCACATCAGCCTCAGCCTTTACTGGAACAACAGTTTTCATCTTTTACCTGTTGGAAGCATGTTTTAGTTATTTAAATATTTCTGCAGCTGTAAGGTTGGACTGGGAGACATTTGGGGATTCCTTCAGTCCCCGAAGTCATTTTGTGTTCCATTTCTGGGTGTCCTACTGGGAATTCACCACTTTCTAGGGATTTCAAACCTTTTTGTCTTATTCTCAGGGGGCATAAAAGAAGATGGTCTTTAGGCACAAATGATTTATGTTTATATTGGACCTCAAACCATGGCATTTTGAGTAAAAGCACAACATTTGCAAAGAAGATAAAGCCACATTTATTTATTTATTTATTTTTATGCCAGTTTCACTCAAAATGGAGTCAGATAACTGCCTGGACCTATTGAAAAGTGAGACATGAGAACAAGTAAGGGGAGGGCTGGATTAACAAACCCTGGAGAAGCTAAGAAGTCAAATGCTGCATATGTCAAGAAGTTCTGCAACACAATGCATGCTCCTTCATGTGGATTGTGTGTATCCAGATCTACACATAAACACACACACACAGAGCTGCCTGAGGGACATAAGAATATTACCACTGAACAAAAATATTCTGACAAAGTTGTTTTGGAAAAGGAAAATTGGCTTTTTGGATAACTAAAATGTCACAAATGGAGTCTGTCTTCATCTGAAAATGACATTGTGCTGTTCTGTGCATGCAGAAGACAATTTGCATTGAGCATACGCAGGCATGCAAAATTTATGCATGCACCTTTAAAAATCACTCTTTATATAAAATTGATAGCCTGTGGAACATTCCTCCTATCGCTCCTCCAATCCTATCCTATCTCCCCTCTGTGTTTTTGAATGGAGCAGGATATTGCATGGCTCTAAGGTTAAAAAAAACAACAGCACAGCATTCTTCAGGGCTCTCTCTCTCTCTTTTTTTTTTTTTTTTTTTTTTTTTTTTTTTTTTTTATCATACAATATTAACTGTGTACTTACTTTGGGGAGCAAAAAAACTTTAACTTCCCAAAATAGCTGGTCAGCCATGGACCTGAATAAAGTGGTTATAAAAGCTGTTCCCGTTAATGGCCTAATATTCTCACAATAAGGATAATTCTCTCTTGCTTGTGCTAAGCTGAGCAGACTGACATAATGATTGGATCTGATGTATGCAGGCATTAACAGTGTGCATCAGATGCACCATAGGCCAGCATAAGGCACGTGCATATTCACAATTAACTGACCTACATTTCTGTTTGTTTGTAGATAGACATATATATGTATGTGTGTGTGTCTGTTTTCTACCCTTCACAAAAGCCTTCCTGTGCAAATACACGACAAAAATCACCGTGGTACTTTCTCTGACTGGCTGTGTCATGCCTTATAATGGATGTGACAAGACAGCCTTATAAAACATAGATGGAAACTTCTTTTCTTTGTGAGAAAGGGAAAGCACTTAGAGTATTTTCCCTGTAGGCATCAACACAGCACGCACTAAAATACTTGAACTACTTACTAACTAGTGGGCTTCCATGGAGTTAAATTGGAATATTGCTCACATTTCCATTTTACTGGCTCTCAGTCAGCCTGACCACACACATCCACCCTCTCATTTTGCACCATGACAGAAAAGAGATTTTTTTCTTCTGAAGATTGCATGAATTGCAACACGGGTAATTAGGTGTTGGGACTTTTCACCTTCATGTGACTCAGTCACATTCATTCTGGGTTTCTCCCAGTCACTGAAGGCTGTGTGCACACACATTTCTGTTTTATACATGCATGTTCTGAAAAGATATGGTAAAAGACTGGACAGGCTGACAAAAATCCCATAAAAAACAGTATCAAGGATTTTAGGTATTCAGTAGATGAAACAAGTTCTCATTCAGGACTTTACTGAAAGCATGAGGATGTAAAGCACATGCTTAAACAGACAATAGTACTTTCCTATGTTGAAGCCTGTAAAGTAAATGTTCCTCCTTATTCTATCCATCTAGATGAAGATACATACATACATACATACATACATACATATATATATAATTTTTTTTCTCAAGCGAGCCTATCAATTTACTAAGGCTCCTATCACCAAGAAAATAAAGTGATCGCCTTAAATGAATAGGTTCACTCCGCACAGCTCTGTTTCAATGCATGTCCTCTCTGACATTGCAATGAATATCCCACCATTGCTTCAACTAGCTATTGATGCTAATCTCCCCCAACAGATGACTCAATCTGGGACACAAGAAGTTCCCTCTGAACACCAGGTGTTCTTTACAGTGCAGGTGATGGAGCACTTGCACAGGTTGCCCAGAGTCTCTGGATTGTCCCTTCTTGGAGATCCTCAAAAGCCGTCAGGATATAGGCCTGGGCAGCCTGCTCTGGGTGGCCCTGTTCGAGTAGGAGGTGGACCAGATGGACCCAGAGGTCCCTGCCAGCCTCAACCCTTCTCTCATTCTGTTAGAGCCTCTTTCTGTGACTGATATTCTGTGATGGGGGTTGATTAGCTTTACCTACACCAATGAGCACCAAAGCCACATTTCACTCTGCAGTGTTAAAGAAGGCTCTTTCAAAGGTTTCCCACTATCATTACACCAGCCCATGACCTCCAGTTCCTTAAGTTTCACAGCAGCAGCTTCAGTTTTGTCAAAAACTACCTGAAAACCCAAGTGAAGCTTGAAAGGCACGAGAGAGATGGCTAAGTGTGATCTGGGGTCGAGGAAGACACCCCCCTGGATCCCAAGAGAACAAGAGGATTGGATATTGTATAGTTCCTACACATTTTGAGGATGGTACTGAAAACTGTAGGTTAGGCGGAGCTATTCTGTGGGCACCAAAGTATTTTTTTTTCTTTGTTTTGTTTTGTTTTCTCAGAAAGCAAATAAAATATAAAAACTAGGTTTAAAAGGGTTGGAGAAAACAGGCACAGCACCCAGTTTTACTGTGAATATTGTAGGGTTAGCAGAAAAGATTTATATCTTTCTGAGGTGTTCTGCTTTTGTAACAATATAAACGTCCTGCTTGGAGAGTTACGCTTTCCAAAATGGTAGAATGATGACCATGAATAAAACAAGATTCTAAATTTATGTCTTTCCCTTCATCAACAGTGCTAGGAAAATGAGAAAGTGAAAGTATTTGAGTTTTATTTTTTTACTCACAGATCCAAATGGTGGGAAAGGAACATAGGTCAAAGGGCAAACTGACTCACATCTTGAAATCTACTTAATGAAAAATGAGATTTGTATTCAGGAGTTCACGTGTGATGCCAAAAGTAGAACATGGAAAATATAAATGTATTTCCCTTTATGAGAGGCCTGTTTTTGGAAAGAAAGCAATTGCTGCATGGTGCTAAATTTGGCCAGTGCCACTTTCCTATTCCCCTCCCCCACTACCTTCCCCCCCCCTCCTCCCCCCCCCAGAAAAAGAATATTAGTTAGTAAGCAAAGATCCCATCTGGTTAGAAGAGAAAGAGTTGTCTGAAGGGTGAAAAGGAGATCTGTAAAACCATGAGTGGCACAGAGACCGTGAGTGGACATCTACAGCTGTAGTGGGTTTACTTGTACAACTGCTCATGCTGTAAGATAGAAAGAGGCATCAGTGAAGCTGGAGGGGGCCAAAAGGGAGGTTCAAAGCCAAGGCATTGGTTTGCAGTGGAAATCCCCACCTCAGGGTGCTATGGCTGCTGGAAGATGTTGGGGGCTCCTGGGGACTCCAGGGGAGCCTGGTCCTTCTTCTTGTAGCGAGGGGCCCAGAACTGAACACAGTACTCGAGGTGCGGCCTCACCAGAGCCGAGTACAGGGGGACGATCACCTCCCTAGCCCTGCTGGTCACAGTGTTTCTGATACAAGCCAGGATGCCGTTGGCCTTCTTGGCCACCTGAGCACACTGCTGGCTCATATTCAGCCGACTGTCCACCATCACTCCCAGGTCCTTCTCTGCCTGGCAGCTCTCCAGCCATTCCTCTCCCAGCCTGTAGCTCTTCTTGGGGTTATTGCGCCCCAGGTGCAGGACCCGGCACTTGGCCTTGTTAAACTTCATACAGTTACAGTGGTCACTGCCAGAAAAAAAGGATGGCATGAAGGATGCCACATAAACTGAGTTTCCTTCTCTTGTTCAGGATGCCCCTGGACCAGAGATGGCTTTGAGGATGAAGAGGTACTTTGGAAGTTTTCATATACTTGTCCTTCTGTAGTGCACATGTTAACACCATCCATTTTATAGCCTTGTCAGAAATGGGATGCAGGAGTTTTTGTCTGATTCAGGACAGCTGCTCTCATGTTACAGTTGATCAAAATAATTTAGAGTTTAGTGTCAGACTTGTCAAACCACTCCAGTCAAAAAAGTAAAATCAAAGCAAACATAAGACCTTGAAAAAAAACCAAGCCACGTTATACCAAAATGCTTCCCTTTGACAGCGTAGTCACAGAAAAACTCGGTTTTCCATTGCAATGTCATTTTTGTTGTTCAGAAATTTGTTTGCATGGGGTGTGAAGGGATACAGAGATTATGTAGCTCTCAGACTGGTAGCTGTCTGAGTAGAAGCATGCACCTCCAAAGCCATGTTAATCCTTGGGGCGATGGGGCCTTGGTGAAGTCCTCCACTCCGCTCGGTCTGGCAGAAACACCTGTTTTCTTTGGTCTCCAGCCAGCTCAGATACGTGCTGAAAGAGCTCCACAGAAACTAAGTGCTGTTTGATTGACCTCACTGGGGAAACATGCCCAGAGCCAACAGCAGGCTAAGGATTACAGTGCAGGCGAGGTAGGAAAATGGATGGAAAAATGACCAAACGTAAATCCCGTGGTGAACACGAATTGTGTGCTGGAGGCTGTGACCACAGAGGGGATGGGCAGAACAAGACTGAGGAGTGAGTGGATGTTTCCACCAAGGGGTTTCCCGGTGGTTTCAAGCCAAGCAAGCACCTGGGCAGCCAAGGAGGAAGGGGTGGAGGGGGTGAGCTCCTGCCTGCTGTGTTGATGCAAAACAAATATACCAAAAAGTGGCACATGGAGAGGAAAATTACAGTCTGCTTCAAAGCAAGGAAAATAGTCATGAAATCATATCTTCAAAGAAACACATGGATTTCTCTGACGAGGCATTATTTTCTCCACTCTGCACAGTTGGCAGGTATTATTCTCTGCTTCCTTAAAGCTCACAGATTTTTAGGACAGTGAGTAAGAAAACAAACATGCAAAAGAGCTTCTGACACCTCATTTTTCTGCTGCCAGCTCAGGGACATCCAGAACTAGGGGAAAAGGAGCACACGGACTCTGTGAATCATTTCCATCTGTAGTCAGCATAACCCCAAGGAATCCTTCTTTATGGAGACCAGTTCTCCCACGGGAGCTGCAGCTTTCCTTGGGGTGGTGGTTTAAATGGTAGTTCTCGTGGTGACGTTGCTGCTCTAAGCAGTAAGACTAAACCTGTGGATTTGCTTTGTCTTTTGCAGTCCAGTGGTAATGCTTCACAGAAAAGAAAATATTAATAAAGACAGGATGGCAATTTTTTCCTTTTTTTTTTTTTTTTTTAATTTCTTTTTTCTTTTTTTCTTCTCCACCTTGCCTCATTCCTGCCCGGCCAGTTCCTCTGTCTTCCTGCTGTGTTGAATGTGGGAAATGCTCATGACACTGCCTGTCTCTGCTAGCTGCAATGGCGCAGTCCCCTACTGAGAGCACTTGCTGAAATGCAGCTCTCAACATTTCCTGCAAACAGCACACCACACCGATCACTGCACCAGTGGAGATGAAGCAGATAGGACTGCAGCAGAACAAACACACCTCAGACCTCTGAGGTTCTGGCAGAAGGGTGCCTGCTATTTTTGTTAGCCTGTGCCCACTGCCACTGCCTTGTTGCCA